TCTGTCCTTATCCTTGATCTTTCCCATTTTGATTACTATGTGTCTTGGTGTTGTCTTCCTTGGGTCCCTTGTGTTGGGAGATCTGTGGATCTCCATGGCCTGAGAGACTATCTCCTTCCCCAGATTGGGGAAGTTTTCAGCAACTACCTCCTCAAAGACACTTTCTATCCCTTTCTCTCTCTTCTTCTTCTTCTTCTGGTATCCCTATAATGCAAATATTTCCCGCTTGGATTGGGCACACAGTTCTCTCAATATTCTTTCACTCTTAGAGATCCTTTTTTTCTCTCTGTGCCTCAGCTTCTTTGTATTCCTCTCCTCTAGTTTCTATTTCATTTATTATCTCCTCCACTGTATCCAACCTGCTTTTAATACCCTCCATCAAGCTCTTCAACGATTGGATCTCCAACCTGAATTCATTCCTGAGTTCTTGGATGTCTTTCTGTACCTCCATTAGCATGTTGATGATTTTTATTTTGAACTCCCTTTCAGGAAGAGTCATGAGGTCCATATCATTTAAATCTTTCTCGGGAGTTGTATTAATAATTTTACTCTGGACAAGGTTCCTTTGGCATTTCATATTTGTATATGGCACCCTCTAGTGTCCAGAAGCTCTATTCTGGAGCTGTTCAGCCCCTAAAGCAATGTTGGGGGTCGCAGGGGAGTCGTACTGGTGCCTGGGGTGAGGAAAGAGCTGTTCCCTGCTTCCCAGCTGCTCTGCCTGTCTCCACTGCCTGAGCCAGTGGGCCAGGCACACAGGTATAAGTTTTTGTCCCAGAGCCACCAGATATGGATCCCTGCTTTCCAAAAGTGGCCAGAATCCCAGTCTCCCCAGCAACTCTGCCTGTATTAACTTTCCAACCTGGTAGTCATGAAAGTCTCAATAAAGCACCGTGAAATGTAGGTTTGTGCTCCCAGAGCAGATCTCCCGAGCTAGGTATTCAGCAGTCCCAAGCCTTCCACTCCCTCCCTGTTCCGTTTCTCTTCCTCCCACCAGTGAGCTGGGGTGGGGGAAGGGCTCGGGTCCTGTGGAGCCACAGCTCTGGTACGTTACCCTTTTGGTGAGGTCTGCTCTTTTCTCCAGGTGTGTGCAGTCTGATGCCATCCTCTTTCCTGTTGCTCTCTCAGGATTAGTTGCACCAACCATATTTTCTAATTTTATCGAGTTTTAGGAGGAAGCCTCTGTCCTCTCACGCCACCATCTGTAATCCCTATGACCCTCTTCTTTGTGTCTTTATGAGGCTAGAATTACAACACACAAGACAAGAGCATTTAGCACTGGTCTTAGCACATGGTCAGCACCATAACTGGCACTTAGTAAACACTGATTCTTTTACCCCCTCCATCGACTAGGGGGCACCCGGTCTCCCTCCAACTCCAGAGCCTTTGCTCCTATTAGAACCCCAAATACCAGGGGGCCTCAGGAATCAGAATTCCTCAACCCCTACTGTAGCTCCAGGAAAGCTGTTTCTAGCCCAGGCTGAATAAACCAGTGAAACTTGTGGAGCTAAAATCAGTCAAGGGAAAAGATCAAGTGGGAGAAACCCATTTATTTGCCCACAGAAGCCTGGCTTCATTCTCTGCCTTAGCCGCCACCCCCACTCTCCCATTTCTCCTTGTCCGGGCAGTGCTCACCTCCACCCCCACCCCTTCTGGGAGGAACTCCTCAGGTGGAGCCCTGGTGACTGACGGGGCGCCAGACCAATTACACAACAGGGGGGAGGAGAGATCAGCTTCTTCCCCACCCCTTATAAACACCTATGATATGGAAATGGGCAAAGGCCAGGAGAGAGTGTCTGGAAATATTGCAATTTTACCCACACCTACCTTCCTTTGCCTGCTGCAGAGCTGAATGTCAATCTCTTGTGGCCTTTGCTTCCTCAGTCACAGTGGCCAGTTAACCTTGAACCAGGGCTGTGCCCAGGTATCCTTACAGGTCCTCTTTTTTTTTTTTTGCCTCTGACCTCTTCATTTTGCAGAAGCCAAACCAGTCTAAACTTAACAACCCTCCATGCTGGTCTAGTGCTATAGGGTATCTCCTTTCATTTTCCAGCTCCTGTGTCCCCCTTCTGTCCATTTCTAAGAACACTGGTCATATTCAAAGCTGATGCAGTTGCACAGCTCTTTCATGTCCTCTGGTTCCCATCTAGATCTCAGAATAAAAGCCAGGTCCTGAAAATGGCTTGCAGGGCTCCACAGGAGCTGACTCTGCAGAGCCTCCACTGCCCTCTGGCCTCATCTACTCCTGTCTCCCTCACTTATTCCATTCCAGGCATACCTTGCCTCCTTACTGTCCCAGGGCCCTTGCATCTGCTGTTGCTTCAGTTCAGAATGCTCCTCCCCAGATCGCTCCAGCCCCTCTCCCTCATTTTCTTCAGGTATCTTCTTTAGCTAAACGTGAAACAGCAACCTCTAACCCTGCATTACTGTCCCTTCACCCTTATTTATTTTCTTGGTAGTGTTTATCCACAGCCAACTTACATATTTACTCCTCTTTGTTTACTGTTTCCTCCCCAGCCTCCATCAGAATATAATTTCCGTGAGGTCAGGGTAGAGTTTATTCAGTGTCATATCCAGAGCAGCAGAAACAGCATCTGGCATGTAGCAGGTGTTGAGTAAATATTTGTTGCACGAGCAAGTGCCTAAACAAACTCATTACCTCATTTGGTCTTTGCAATAGCCCATTTGACAGATGAAAAATACTAACATGCAAGGTCTTCTCTATGGTTACACAGCAAAGTGAAGGCTAAGCTAGTCCCAGAGCTGTGGTTTCAGGCTCTCCTTCACTCCACACATGGCACATTCCTCCGCTGGCCAGCAATTTTCATTCCATCAGGATTTCCCCTGACCTTTTGCCCCAGAGGAAGTGGTATCATAACTGGAAGGATACCCAGGGGGCTGGGAGCTGGCAGCGAACGCCCAGCAGCTGCAGGGAGTGTGTGCATGGATCCTGAGTTGGCCAGAAAGGCAGTGGAATGAGCAGCTGAAGGCACGCACAAACATCAGCATGCACCTGGCCCACCGCCTGTGCAGGCACAGAGGGAACCGGGGTCTGCATGTCAGGAATTGGGATGTGGGAGCACAGGGTCGTCTCCTATGATGACTCTGGGCCATGTCATTGGGTTTCATGTTTGGGGCCCGTCCTTGAGCAGTGCTGGAAACCTGTGAACGGTAGGACACAGGAAAGACCTTCTGACCAGGAGACTGTCCTGAGCCCTCAACTTCTTTTATGGGCTGGCTACCCCAGGCTCATCATTTTGTGGCTTAGTTTTCTCCTCTGTAAAATGGAGTTACACTCCTGCTGCAGATCATTCCAACCAGGGTAAACGGGAATATGGGAAACTTTTGTAAAACTGCAAATTTCTAAACAAATGCAATAAATAATTTTGTGTAAGTAGACTTCCTATAATTGCTTTGATGTAGTTTCATATGCATAATAGCCTCTCCTGGACACAGGCTTTATCCTCAAATCTGTTTCCCTGGTGTCACGACCCACCCAGTTGCTCAACCCTGAAAAGGAGGAGTCCTTGGGGGCCCCCTCAGTCCCTCCTATCTAGTCCATCTGCCTTTACTGTTACTCTGCTAACTATGTTCCTGACTTCCATGCGGATCTGGCTTCCCACTCTGCCTCGGCCCTCTCACCCACCAGGGTCAGCTCCTCCACATGGGAAGCTCATTCCCAGTCCAGATTCCTTCCCAGCCCCACCTCTGGCTGGGAATGCAGGAGCCCAGATCTCCATGTGTCTGGCTCCTTGTCTTTCAAGTCTCAACCCAAACTTCTCTGCCCTGGAAGGACCTTCTCTGACCACTTTCTATACAGCCTCTCCAGTCACACTCTACCACCTACTGAATTTGATCTTCAGAGCATTTTCCGAACCTGCAATGATCGTATACCTTTATTTTCTTACCAACTGTTTATTGTCCAGCCACCCATTTTAAATGTATGTGCCCATCTGTCCTGCTCGTTGATGGATCCCTGGTGCCTGGGACTGCACCTGGCTCACAGTAGGTCTAATAATATTTGGTAATTGGCCATCCTTGGGTGGGGACAGATGTGAACTTGGCTTCTAGATAATGGCTACTAGCAAAACAAGAGCAGTATCCCTGTCCCTGACTGAAGCAGTCAGTGTCTGCAGTCTGACTCACAAAGTAAACAGCAATTTCGAAAAGGAGACTCGCCCCAAAGAGGAAACCAGAATGCCTGCTGAAGCCAAGGCGGCAGAAACTGACCACATCACATATTCAGAAGCAGCACTGATGACACCTCCCTGCGTTCCACACCAGGGCACTCAAGAAGGGAGAGTGTCCTGTCTGCATCTGGGTTTTCTCATGCCATGGGGTTGAGAAAGCTGACTTTGGGAATGACTTTGGGATTTGCCTGTTAACTTCATATATTTGACTCCAAGTGCCCCCTGAATTGATCAAGGAGAGTAATACATTTATAGTTCGTGAATTATGTGAGTGGTTATAAAAAAGCAGGTTCTTTTTTGTCCTGGCATCTGGAACAGTGCATGGCACATGGTAGGTGCCCAATCAACCTTTTTGAACAAATCTTTCCTCATCTGCTGGTGATTCTGATCGTACCCCCAGTGACCAGTCTCAGTGATGGTGCAAAGAAGGCCATGTGTCCTCATGTTTCTTGTCTTCATTCTTTTAGGTGGGCTTGAAGAGCAGCCATTTGAAAGCTGGCCGAACACTACAGCTGCAAATACCAGCAACGAGGAAGCTAGAAAGGGTAATAATGTGAGGCCCTACCAGGTCTTTGGGGGCTTTTTTATAGCTGTGATAAATTTCACATAACACAAAATTCACCATTTTACCCACTGTAATATGTACAATTTAGTGGCATTAAGTACATTCAATGTTGTACAACCATCACTACTATCTGGTTCCAGAACATTTTCCTCGGCCCCTCAAGGAGACCCCATACCCAATAAGCAATCACTCCCCATTTCCCCCTGGCTTGGAAAACTCTTATTGTACCTTTTCCTTTCTGTCTTAAGGGACTGAAAGCACTGAAGTCTGGGGGCATGGGCAGTGTGTCCTTTTGTTGGGTGGAGTGCTGGCCGCCTGAGAAGGGGGGCAGCAGGGGCATATGGTTGCCGAGGGACAACATGCTCTTCAGTTAAACTCTGCAATCTGGGCTTGACCTTTCTCTCTAGCTCTTGGCTTGTGAGTGAAACCCCTGAGGGCTGGAGGGAGGGATGATGAGGCTTTGGGCACTTGGGGTCTGACAGAGAGGGTGGGCCTGGGGGGCAAGGGAGGAAAATAAGGCTGGGGTATGCTGCAGAGGAGGGTGTAGACTGGGGACCGTATTGGCTGCTGGGAGAGGGACAGGTAAAATGTGTGTGTGTGTGTGTGTGTGTGTGTGTGTGTGTGTGGCTGTCAGTGGGCAGAGCCACCTATCAGCAGGTGCCTGCCTAGAAGTGCCACCACTGCCTATCTGCACACCAACATGCAGACAGATTGCCTTTCTTACGACAGCCTGCATATTATGGGCAGGCATCTCACTTTTAGAGAAGTCTTTTCCTGTTCAGAACCTTTGCTGGGCTTCTGTCTGGCCTGCATCCTGCAGGAATCGGGGCTCGCTGACAGCAATGACATTTCTTCTGCATAAAATTAATGCAGAGCAAAAGCAATAACTTTTGGATGCCAGAATCCTTTGTTTTAGGGATGCTTATGTAGGGATGAAATAGAAATCATTACTTGCTTTATTTTGTTTTTGCTTCAATGTTATTTTATATTTTATACCTATGCATGCATATATATATATAATTTTATAGAAATGCATAAACATGATATCATCATATCCTTTTTATCCTTTTTAGTGTTGTCTTTTTCTCATTTCTCTGTAATTTTTCACTTCTTTTCTCCATATATTGCCTCTCTACCCTTTTCCAGGTAATGCATGCTAATGACTTTGTATTCACTTTCCCATATTTTTCTCCATGCACATACATTCACCATGCTCATGCTTATGTAGAAATATATATGCATAAACATACATGTGAACACATGTAAACATATATAAACATACAAGCTTTGTCATTTTTTTAAAAATGGGATCATACTCAATACATGTTTTTTATGCATCATGCTTTCCTCACTCATCAACACTTCATGGGAAACCCCTCCAAGGCATTTGTTACAACTTCAATTTATTATTTTGAACAGTTGTAAAGTATTGCTGGTACGGATGGACCATAATTTATCCAACCATTCTCTTATCAATTAACACCCACTTCCCTTCAAGTTTTTGTTATCATGGACGATGCTGCAGTAAACATTCCTGAACATAGATCCTCACACACTTAGTATGTTTAATAGATATTGCTAGAATGTGTTTCAAAAGGTGTAGCCATTTCCATTTCCATAGCAACTTACAGTGTGCATCGTTTGCCATATCCTTTCTAGCACTAGGTATAATCAGTGTTCTTAATAATATGAATAATAAATTATTATTAGTTCATTTGTGTTTCTATGGCTGCTGATGACTTTGAACATCATTTCCAACCTTTGCCAGTGATTTGGGGGTATACTGACATGACTCACCTCTTCCTGTCCTTTGGTCATTTTTTAATTGGCTTGCTGATCCCCCTCATATCAATCTGACCTCTTTCAGAGTGAGGCAGATTCTTCAGCTCTCACTTCCCACCATCACCATTTGACCAACATGCATTTGTTTCTCTGTCACACAACATATTGTTGGGACCATATGCTCAGCCCTGACTATATTTTGATCTCTGTATTTTTCTGCTTTGCTTTTTTGAAGGTATTTTGACTTACGCATTTTCAGTCTTCCCAGACATCTGGTAAACTCAATGACCCTTCATTCTGGGCACAGATGACCAGCACCTCGTGATAAAAATGGAGCATAGGGTATGGGGATGAAAGAGGGATTTGCCATCACACTGCGGTGATGGAGATGCCACACCTAATTGTTCCTTCCCAATTACAGTGACTTATTGTTACATAAAACCACCCCCAAACTTAGTGACTTCAAACACTAATATGTTTTCTTTGATGATTCTGTGAGTTGGCTGGGATCAATGGGGTGGTTCTTCAGCTGATGTCAACTGGGTCAGTCACTTGACTGCATTCGTCTAGCAGCTGAGCTGGGCTAGGAGGTCCAAAAAAGCTTTAGGCACATATTTGGTGCCTCAGTGCACCTAATGGCTCCTCTTGCCACATGGATTTTCACCAGTTAGTTGTTTAACCTGAGATTTTTTGACAACATGACAGCTGTCTCCCTAGAGGGAAAAAGCAGAAGTTGCCAGTCCACTTAAGCCTGGACTCACAGTTCCCAGAATGCTACTTCTGCCATTGTATTGGTCAAAACAAGCCATAAGGCCCTTCAACTTCAAAGAGAAGAAAATAGATTCTAGCCCTTAATATGAGTAGTGACATGAGCTCCAAGGGATGAGAGCTGTGGCCACATTTAAAGACATTTTATCACCTTCCCTCATTGCATCTTACCTGCTCACCAGCGAGAGTCTGTCAGGGTCTTTAATGACCAGTTTGTTGGTATAACACGACCCAACGGAATAAACTTGGACAGTCAGACACAGTTGAGTTTGTATCCCACCTATGACTTTGGATAACTTACCTAACTCCTCACGTGAGGTTTTGGAGAGAACTAGAAATAATATTTACACAAAGTGCATGGCCACGTGTCTGGAATTCAAGAGGTGCTCAGTGAGTCTAGCTCCGCCTCTCCACCTCCACCTCCACCTCTAAGAATTGTATCGTCCAGCCTTGAAGGCACACCGTCCCACCTCTGGGCCCGGGATTCCACACATATTTCAACAGCTGCACAGAAACGCAATTAAGGAGGACGGGAAGGAATGAGGCTGCTGCAGCCCATTAAAATTCTGCCTCTTACTGGGTTGTGCACAGTACCCACACCATAACAAGAGATCTTCTTGGGCTTTTTAAGGCCAAGATGCCAATCGTCTGATGGCAGCACACCCCCACCTCACGCCCCTAAAGCTGGCTAAATCCATAGTCTGCAACCCCAAAAATGACCCTGGTTTGTGTGAAGAGAATAAGGTCAAGACTGGGCAATCCCTCCACTCTGTATTACAGCAGCGGACAAGCAGGCCTTTAAGCATCCAGGGCACAGCTAAGGAGGAAGGAGACCCCAAGGATCCGCTGAGGGCACGCTGTCCCTCCAGTACACTGACAGGAGCCAGCCTGAGTACCTCTTGTTTTTGTTTGAATTAAAGATAAGACAAGTTGTGTACCTCTCAGATTTCCCTTTAATCACAATCTGCCCTCCTTCTGCCACCCCCAGAAAGAGACCGCCCAAGCAGGAGAAAGGATCAGAGGGAAGCCCGCTGGCCCACTGGCTTCAGCAGCAGGTTTATTTCCTGGCATTATGTGACTCTCCTCAGCCCTGACCATGGGGATTTGTGCTCCCAGCTTTGGTGAGGCCTGGGGGTCTCGAAGAAATGCTCACTCAGCATCCCCTGGCAGACTGTTTGGTCCAAGGAGCCTCCCTCCCCTAGAGAGAGCTCCACATGCATTTCGGGTCTGACAATGGGATTAATGAAATGGAGTGTGTAACTGCCCCATGAATGAAGCTGTGCCTGTTTTGATAGAGCCTGATTTTCAGAACCATATTCATAAAAGACAATGAGCCTTTAACTTTCATGGACAATCCCTAAGGGTTTGGTGCTCAAGCAAACAGTAATGGAATCTGGTTGCACCAGAGAACAAGGATCCCAGAAACTTGGGTGCAAATCACCACTCAGCACCTGAACCCCTGAACATCACTTAGCTGAGTACTGGGGTATAACTGCTGAACCTAATTTTAGGCATTCTTTGTAGCCTTTCCCCAAATGCAGACCTTGTTAGTGATCCTTGCACTGAGCCCTTACCACACAGGCATTTGACATTCATTACCTGGTTCAATGTCCCCAACACCACCACGAAGCAGGTAGGAAGGCTCAGGGGGAGGGTGGCTTTTCCAAGGCCACACGGGTAGTGAATGATGGCATTTATCTTGAGGCCTAAGTTCCCCTGGCCCCAAGCTCCTTGCTCTTAACCTTTGGGCTATATTAGTGGTTCTCAAACTTCCCTGCATTTTTAATCACTTGGGGAGCTCTGAAAACTACAGATGCCTTGACTTCACTCTAGGCTGACTGAGTTGCAATCTCAGGGCAGGGGGAGGACACAAGAATTATTTAAAAGCTCCCCAGTTGGTTCAGGTATGCAGCCAGGCTTTCAACCCATCTTTCAGAATAACCCCCCGCCTGCCCTTTCACCAAGGGGCTGCTCCTTGGTCTTTTAGGATTGCCGCAGGCAAGGTGCCAGTCTGCTTGCCAGCCTTAGGGTGAGGGTTATGGGGCCGGCTGGACTGTCAGAGTGTTGATTTCCAGTGTGGGAGTGACTAGTTGAATAATTGAAAAGTGCCAGTTCCTCGCTTGGGAAGGCTGGGTCAGGCCTGGTTCTGTTTATGACACGGCTGTGCCTTCAGCTGGAAATGGAACATTGAATAGTTACAGCCGCTCTGCTTTTTCAAAGAGGACAGGGTCTACTTTCAGAGCCAGAAAATTTAAATGGACCTTATTCCCCAACCCCAGTGTGTTAAATCCTTTCAGATGCCCCTAGGCTCCTCTTCAAATGCAGGACTCTTGGCCATAATAAATAATTACATCCTTCTATTTGGACTCCGATTCCAGATAGTAGTAATCCAAGAAAATCCAATAATGACAGTTGCATTAAAATCCTTCT